TTCAAAACTTAAAGTTTGAATGCTCATCGCACTCAAGTATTTTATTATTTTTGTTAACTCTTAGTGTCGAGTGAATAAATCAAGTTTTGTACAGGTTTGCAAATCCTTGATGATAAATTTAAAAAAAAAATGTTTATAAGGCCAAAGGATATGCAAAGGCTCGTGATCCTCAAAGAGTAAATCACCATTTTTTCGTACAATGAGTGAGGGATTGAATACAAGAAAAATGATGCAATATGAAACGCATATGCCTAAAGTTATCTTTTCATGGCTATTCTTAAATCAAAAATATGTTTCTACTCAATTTTATTTAATATAAATTTTGGTGGTTTAAATCTATGAAATTTTTAAGGTGTTAACGCAATATTTTCTTTATTTTTATTTTTAGTCATGAGTTTTCTTTACTTTTTGAAAGGTCGTGTTGGAATTGTTTATTAAGGTAGAAAATTTAGTCATTAATGAACCTAATAATAATCCAGACAAAAAAAACAACAAACAAAAGACCGACCTAAAATTTGGTTGATCTATCAAACACATACAACAAAACAATAAAGATGATAAAAAGGGTACCAGTCCTGGACTTACGTCAGACTCGTCGATCAAATATGTCATTTGAACATCATTGTTGGTTTAGTTGAGGTTCATCATTTGCTTTTTGTTCATCTTCCCATTAGTAGTTTGGATGTTAATAGTTGACCAACTGCGACAGACACACTAACTCTAGAAAGAGAACGATGCTGCAAAAATGAAACCTACGCTTAGTATGACAACCTAGGCTATTACAGCTGCTCTTCAAAATAAAGTTAGCACATTGTAAGCTTACTATAGCGGTTTAGAAACATGTAAAAAAAAACTACAACAACCTAAACCAGTATACCAAGAACGTACAGTATATAAAGAAAATATAGCTATTTACTTGTCCTAAACAAATGTCAAACGAGCAAAACAAACACAAATCATAAAGCACAACACAACACAATGATCCCACTTGACATAGTGCTAAGGCCAGGGTCAAGGTCTTACAACATCTAAAAGGAATATTATAAAGTAGAAGAAAATGATGACAATACTAGGTCAAGATTACATGATTTCATCATCTCGGATTGTCGTGGTCTCTGATCTACTTAGTCAAAACAGAAAATTAGCTTAATCTGACAACAAGAATCCTGTTAGCAGTCATAGGTTACTTCGACCAAGATATCTCTATAGATCTGGAGTAGATTATATGTTAAAATTTTACTTGTTTGTTCATTATTAGGTTCACTTTAAGTTTTAATGTATTTTGATTTTTACTTTTTTTACTTTTGTTTGATTTTTAATAGGATTATTTTTAATCTTTATTTTATTTTAATAGGATTGTCTCTTAATTTAAATTTAATTTTTAAAAGAATTGTCTTTTGGCTGAAAATTCAAAATAAATTCAAATAACCTCCAAAATCCTGGAAGTTTTATAGAGATGTTCAGAATAATTATTTAAACAACCTCTAAAATTTCTAGGTCTTTCTAAGTTTATTTAAAATGTTATGATTATTGCACTCTTTAGTGACTTAATTATTTTAAAATTATTAAAAATTATTTAATGAGTTTTTTTCTTTAATATCTTCCTTCTCCTTTATTCACTTGATATATTGGTGACTATTTTATTCAATTTAGAGTGTTCTTGAAAAAAGCTATGGGAATTTTAGGACACGTTTGGGGCAGCTAATTTAGTGTGATGCGTTTTGAAAACACACCAAAGATTGTTTGGGTAAACTGCATTTTGACTGCTTATTCAAAAAACTATGTTTTCAAATCACCGAAATCAGTATTTTCACATCGTTCCTGGCTAGATGCGGTGACAGCTTTCTATCTGCGATTTGGCTTTTCCAAGAAAAAAAAATAGTAATAATCACCGCAGCTTTTTGAACAACAGATTATTTTGCAGCAGCTTATTAATAAACTACAACTGCCCCATAAGACCCTTAGTTTGTAAGAGTATATTTGTAAAATGTCCATTTTTGACTTAAATCACTTTACTTCAAATTGAGAGTTGCTTATTATTATTTTTTTTAGTTTGATAAGTGAGTTGAATTAGTAGATTGAATTTTCAATTTTAATGATTCAATTTGTTAAGTGTTAGTGACATAATTTTGAGGAGAGCTGCAAATATACCCAAATCTACTTTTAAACATTTAGATTTTATAATTCACTGTTTATCCTTTCATTAGTGGTCTAGAATCAAATTTCACAAGTTTTAAGTTTGTGAGATTAATTTTTGTAGTTTAAAAAAAAATAAAGGTATATTTTTAATTTTGGGAAATTACAAATAAGCATTTAATCACTTTTAATTATTCAATTTTACCAAGGTTTTATTGTTTTGTTGATTAATGATTATTTGAATTCAAAATTTTCCCGTTTTAATTTTCAAATATTCAAATCAAAGGTATAGAAGTGGGGAAGAGCAAAATAGTCCAATTTTATTTATAAACTTTTTTTTTAATTATTTTTAATATTTTCTAACTGTTTAATTGTTTTAATAAAACTAGGAGTTTACAATGAGTTAGTTTATCTTGATTTATTTTTCTTTAATTCTCCGTGTTTTATTGAATTCAGAGTAATTTATTTGATATTTTTATGATTTTTATTTATTTAGTTATGATTTTCCAAAGTTTATTTTAATTTTCAGTATTTAATTAATTCAGAAAACGGGGGAATTTTATATTTAAAACGGGATCCGACATGCCTGCCAACTTGCCATAGACGGCTGTTAAACTCCACATGGCGTCCTCAGATTCGCTCGTCAATGACTGGGTCACTGAGTCAGCCTTTGATCCCATGTGTTGATCTTTTCTACGAATCTCCATTTCAGTTAATTGTGGCCCTCCATTTCCAATCCACAAAAATGCATGACATTCATTCATCATCCCCACAGGAATAATGAACGCAATCCGTTCGAAGAAAAATCATGGATCTAAGCAATTTTAATGCTAATTCAAAGATCCCTTCCGTCCAAAATGATCTCTAGAATCATAGGGTGAGGATCCTATGGCTAGAATATCATAAAATGAAGATTTTATTCTAGAAGGGCCAAAGCCAAGAACAATTACTGTGTTTTAGAGCTTATACGTTTGTCCGAAGGTATGTCCTCAATTAGATGCTTGGAAAGGATCGCCTTGAGCTCACAAAGCTTCCCATAGAGCCAATTTGAATTGATTTGAGCACTTTGTATGACCTTAACCAAAACCCCCTTTGGTTTGGTCTTGGAATGGGTTGGAGGACTCTATAAGAATAAAAAATGGTTGAGGGAGTGATTTTAGGGCCTTTTTAAGCATGTGGAGTGATCAATTTGGGATTTTGATGAGTGGAGGTGAGAACTCGTATTTTCCCTGGCTCAATTTGAGGAGAACAATGGAGGAATGATAGCTCTAATTCATTGTCTCTAATTCATCTTGAAACTCATTACCACAATAAATGTATTCCATAGTGTGTCCATTAGCATCCATGATTACCAGTGTCGCACAAAATTTACCTTCAATATTTTAAAGCCGTCATTGACCAAGCAAAAGTTATCAGCCTAATCCTTTATACCATTGTAGCAAGCATAGCTAGCTTCACACATAATGATAGCTGGATTGACCAAACAATCCTCCACTCAATGACTTGAGCTCAGAATAGTTGGAACGCTATCTCAATGGGAGTGTTGATGATACCAGGGTCTCACATGTCCTGTAACACACTTCATTCAAACACCTAGACATCAATGACCAAAGCAACATTATGCTTGGGCTCTACCTTTAATATATGTATGCCATGTCTTCACCTGCAACACATCTTCACCTGGCACAACACATTCTACAAGCCCTCCACTAGCCACTACAAATATTTTACATTTGCCATCTCATTATGTCTTGACGCGGCAAACTTTGAAGAATTATGAAAGAACCTCCAACTAACTGATTAGTAATGCAATAGATGACCATTAAAAAGTTTCTTAAGAGGATACTCTTCTAGTTCATATTTATAAAACCAATATAAAATTTGTAGCACAAACTTATTTTTAACATCTCAGGATAATACTACAAAGTCAAAGAAAAACTTTGTGCTGTCTCTCTCTCTCTCTCTCTCTTCTTCTCTTTATACATCCAAGCAATCTTTGTTTGCATTTTTCTATATTTTAATTGCAATAACAATATTTATAATTAAATTCCGAATCATGATTAGCATCTACACTTATAAGACAAAACAAGCCTGATAGTCCCCATCCTCTAAACTCATGCACTCAATCAAAAAAAGCTTCCAATACTTTAAAAGTGCATACATGCACACAGTCATATCCCATATTGCACTTATTTATAATTGAGAGTGAATTTAAAATCTAATCATAATAAAATTTCAACTTAAACTATCAAAAATAACAATTTTCACTAACAAAGTGTATAAATTATATTTTTTTGAAATTGAAGCATTATTTATCAAAAGAAAAAATAAATTTTATTTGTTGTGCGTATCCTAGCAAATTCTATAGCCAAAATTGTTAACAAAACCAAGCCACCATCATTAAAATATGATAAACAAGTATCCCTATCACAAAGATAAGCCCCTTTATTTTACATGAAGGAACTCTTTCTGTTCATTGGAAGGACCATATTGTAAAGATTTTTGGATTTGAATTTCCAATTATTTTCACCTTATATATATATATATATATATATTTTTGGGTATATTATTTGATGTATCCGTGGGATCTTAAAATATTCCTTGGCCTTGTAGATACCTGTGCATTAATGCACGCAAGCTTATCATGAAAGAAAATTTTCAGGCTTATTCTCATGCTTAGAACCTTGAGGATCACTCTACAAATTCTAATTAGAACTTAAGGTTGCAATGTTGATTAATTTCCCAATGAAGCCAGCTAACATCTTAAAGTAATATATAAAACTAAAAGTCAATTCTTCATTAAAATGATATCTTGAGACTTCAAGAAAATGTAAGAAAGTTTAAAAACCTTTTTTATTGCTCATCATGAACTGCCATTAGTTGATCACAAATCACTAGTCAACTTCCATCACTCCACTTTAGTTTTAACCAATACCAACTGCTAGCTACATTTTATGCTTTGATAATATCCTAATATGCCTAAATCATCAAAAGAAAAATGACTTGATTAAAAAAGATTCACTAGAAGCATACAATTACCTCATTTAAGCAAGGAATCCATTCTTAAGATACCATGTACTCCACCTCCTTTGCAAATGATTCTTCATGGATGTGTGGGAGGCATGTATCATAGCTTCATGAAACCCTTTGTTGATATATCCCATGTCTGATGACATTAAAAACATATTGTAATAGTTAGCTTTGAGAAGACACAACATTAACTTGATCATGAAAGTGGCGTAATGAGTTCAGGCAGTTAAAGCTTACAGAAGGGAGTTGTAAGCACAATCAAACTGAAGGTTATCAATACAATAGAGATAAAAATAATTCCAATGCATAAGAGACAAAAATATAGGACACCTTATTCTATAATGAGGCAACTTTATTGTAAAATGTTACTCAAAGAAACAACTTGGAGTTAGATGAATACCTTCATGCAGTAAACTTTATTCCCATGTGAAACTGATTGTGATTGCCACAAGACTTTACCTTCCGGCTGGAACCTGGAAGAGTTTGTCTTCAATCCAGCATAGCCAGTTCTGGCCGTTGGAATTGCAGACATGAAGCCAGTTGACATCTCTCCTGATTTAGAAAGACAAAGGGTGATGAAAATCAAAATGGCAAGTTTAGAGTAGTTTTTATATTATGCCAACTACAAAATGTAGTAGCCATTTAATCTTGGGAGAAGAGATGATTGTTTTATACGGTCAGGCCTAGAATGTACTGTTTGCTTCAAATCCTGACTTTTTGAAACAGTTAATAAAGAGAAAATAACCCCCACAATAGCATAGAATTATATAGGTTCCATTGTGAGGAGATTTAGACAGTCTGAATTGAACCATAAAGCATTATCTAACATTTTTTATTACGCTGGTATTACCATTCTTCGTATTTACCTTTCTTTCTTGTTCTTTTTATCTCTTCCCATCACAATAAAATAACACAAAATATAAAGCTAACACGTGCTCTTCTAGTTCATCACAAATTACAGTGCCATTTTCCCTCGCAAAGGATAGCTCTAAAATGAATTTACAAATACTCTGAAAAAAATTGGAATTCTCCTATTATCATAGTACCAAACAACTATGGAACCAGTAAGACCATTAGAATGAACATCAGAAAGAGGATGATGGGATAAGCATGATAGCTAGATAGTTTCTGGTAAAAATCAGAAGCCCTCTCATAATTAACCCATCTTCTTTCCCGCAAAAATAGATTGTTTAGAAATTTCGATAGATACAGATAGATATTTAGCAAATGTCATGATTTAATTACTACAAATGCAAGGAAGTTGGATGCTAATCGTGTGTCAAAGTCATATGTTATAATGCAATCCTTAGAAAAGAGATCAAACCATTTAAAGCTTTCAATAATTTTAAATTTTTAAGAAAATTCAGAACAATTCGCTTACCTTGCTATCTTGGAAGCTTAAACAATCATGTCAAACATCCAGCTGCAGCATTGGCACATCCCCACCAGGAGTGAGCTAAATCAAACTGTTCATGAGACCATCTCAAAACCTCCTTCACAACTATTACTCAAATTTAACACCATGTCCATAGTCAGGTCACTTAGAATCTGATAGATTTCATGAACCATAGGATGTGTGTTATCATTCGCCAAAAATCGATGGGCAGACCCACTAACCTCAACCAGACTCCAGCCAGCTGTGGCCATGATTCTCCTCTCCTTCATAGCTCTTCTAACCATTGCCACACCCTCCCACCTCCCCATGGAAGCATAAGCGTTAGCCAATCCAACATATCTCCCGTGATGCTCTGGCTCAACCTTGATAATATGGCTTCCCCCTCTTTCCCCCCACTCATTGTCTCCATGGACAAAGCAGCCATGAAGCAGTGAGCCCCATATTGCCCCATCAGGCTCAATTGGCATTGATAAGATCATTCGTTCAGCTTCCTTGGTCTTCCCAGCTCGACTTAAAAGATCAACCATGCAGCCATAGTGCTCTATTGAAGGAGAAATCCCATGAATTGCAACCATATCTTTGAAATAGGTAATCCCTTCATCAACCAGACCTCCATGATTACAAGCTGTGAGTAGTCCAATGAAAGTAACAGCATTTGGTTGAACTTTGCTTTTTAACATTTCTGAGAAAAACTGAACTGCAAAATGGCTATTACCATTCATAGCAAGACCAGCAATCATGGCACTCCAAGTAGTCACATCCTTGCCATGCATTTTATCAAACACTTCCCTTGCTTTCTCAATGAATCCGCATTTCGCATAGAAATCCAATAGAGCTGTACCCAGTTCAAGGCCATACTCCAATCCTTTGAAATCAATATACGAGTGGATCCATCTCCCCTCATCAAAAACCCCCACAGCAGAGCAAGCATTTAAAGCACTCACAAGAAGTGATATGTTAAGATTTGCGGATACAGAACCCTTCATCTCAAGAAATAATTCCATGGCCTCCTCATAACGTTTGTTTTGCACATAACCAGAAACCATAGCACTCCAAGAGGCGTCGCTCTTCTCAGGCATTTCATCAAACAGTTGTCTTGCTCTGTCAAGAAGGTCATGGCTGCAATACCCACTAATCAGGCTTGTCCAGCACACAACATTTTTCAGAGAGCATTCATTGAACACCCTGCAAGCAAGCTCTATCTCACCAAAATTGGAGTAGTTTCTAATCAAAGAGCTGGTGACATAGACATCCAGATTGAAACCGAATACAAAAACCAGAGCGTGAATCTGAGACAAAGAAAGGATAGCACCACAAGCCTTGACTGCGAAGGGGAAGGCGTGCATGTTGGGCCGGACTGCGGTGCGCCTCATTTTGATGAAAACAAATAGGCCCCTTTCAGGTTCAAAGCTCCTCGAAAAGCCTCTGATAATGGTGTTCCAGTTGAAGATAGTAGGAGAATTAATGCTATCAAAGAGTTGGTAGGCATCGTCCATGTCACCAGTCTCGGTGTAACGAGCGAGGATCCGGCTTGTGATGTAAGCGAACTGGGAGAGGCCGGAGATGATGGCTTGGGCGTGGATCTTCTTCAGTTCTTTCAAGCATGAACATTTCTCCAGGATGGAGAGGAATGGTAGGGAAGAACATGAACTGAATTGATGGGGATGTTGCTCAGATGATAAAGCTATAACTCTTCTGGCGATGCCTCCCTTCATGCCTGGGAGTTGGAGAGGGAAAAATGCATATGAAATGATGCTTGGTCGGCGAAGATAAGTGTACAAAGCAGGCCCTGTATCTTTTCAGGAAGCCACTGAGCCAGTTTCTGCAGGCCCATTTGAAAGATGAAGCAAAGAAGGAGATAGGAAACACAAGAAAACAACGCCAGATAGGAAACACTAGAAAAGAACGCGGCAAGGTCCAAATTTGTACATAAGACTTGAGAATGTAGTTATACATCTTAAGTCCAAAACATAACTCAAATTATTCATACCACCATTTTAAAATTTAAATTGTAACATTCACCCTTTCTTGGCTTGGAAAGGTAAGGAGATAGGAAACACAAGAAAACAACGCGGCAAAGTCCAAATTTGTACATAACACCTGAGACTGTCGTTGTACATCTCAAGTCCAAAACATTACTTTTATTTTTTAAGGCCACTCAAATCATTCATACCACCATTTTAATATTTAAAATGTAACATTCACCCTTTCTTGGCTTGGAAAGGTAAGTATGAAAAAATTGAAGTTTAGATGTATGATATGTGATACATAAGAATTGAGTGGTATATATATATATATGTAAAACATCCAACTTTTTAATGTTAAGATTGACTAACAATTTTACCTCAAGTTCATATGCATTTCAAATTTGTATCTTATGAAAAGAAAATAAAATTTGCAATTACTGAAGCAATAAAACATCATACTTCATAATACTTTGTGTGTGAGAATTCAAATAGACATGTTGATATGAATCCAGCAGCAACAACTATAGATAATAGGAGAAGAACACGAAGACAACGAGCACGAATGGACTTTGTTTGTAGTTATATGACTCTTTGAGGTATTCTATTGTGTATTAGTTGTTAAGAAATTGTACTGGATAACTTGATTAGTTGAGTCAGTTAAAACTCGTTATAGCTATGGGTTTGAATGAGTCGAGTAAGTTAATAAGCCGACTCAAACTCAACTCGTCAATGAGCTCACGAGCCAAATTTATGGAACCACGAACTTGAGCATGAGCTCAAACTCAAGCTCGTATATTATACTTGCTTACGTTCAAGTTTAATGGAACTTGGAACCCAAAATCACGCGAGCGTGCTCCGCAAAAATAATATTTTGTTAGCTTTGGCCCATGTCTTAAGTAAAAGCATTTAACTTAATAACAATTTATAATATTAAATAAAAATAAAATTGTGGCACATGTCGCTTAACTTTCCCAAAAAGGTTGTTTGTTGTGCCTGTTGTGGCACTGTTGATCCCTCTCATTAATTCATTATTTTTATATCCTAACATTGCAATTTGGAATGTACGAGGGATTAATAGTGACATTTGAATCAGTAATTATAGAAATTAGTCAGACAACAACTTAGACCTTATCTGTCTCTTAGAGACTAAATTTCGCCCCTCCTCTCTATCATAACCTCTTTCTTAAAAGCAGTTGAATCTCTTTCATAATGAAAGCAATGTGCATAATTTTTATACCTCCAGTGGTGGACGTGTATGGATTAAATGGAATTCGGCTAATGTCTCTTTTAGTATATTGGACTACAAGCCTCAATACATTCATAGTCTCATTAAATACTCCAACTCTATCTCTTCTTGTATCACTTTTGTTTATGTCGAAAATAGATCAGCTCAACGAAAAGGACTGTGGAATTCTATTTTTTCTTTGGCTAATTCAATTTCTTCTCAGTGATTAATTCTTGGTGACTTTAATTGCATTCAAAAATTAGATGATGAAATTGGAAGTGCTCCCCCCCCCCCTCCCTTGTAAAACGGCGGACTTCTATTCTTGCATCAATTATTCAGGCCTCACTATATTGCCTAATATTATTTTTTATTTTAGTTGGTTTAACTAACAATTTGGCAATCCTATCATATGTTTATTGGACAAAGCCTTGAGTAATGATCATTGGATTAGAAATTTCCCTTTATCTTCTTTTAAAATCATGCAGGTATCTACTATAGATGTTTCTCCCATTCTTATTTCTCTTAGTTCTAATTATCATCTAAGATGCAGTTTTATGTACAAGAATCCTTTGAAATACTGCCCAAATTTTCATAACATTATATATGTTGCTTGGAACTATCCAGTGGATCTTGATCTGCACTTAGCTTTATGTAATAGAATGAAGAATGTTAGAAAGGCTCTCATTAAAGTCAAGTGGAACTTTTCTAACTTCATTGAAGATTCCATTAAAACACTCAAAAATGTTCAAATTCATATTTCATCTCTGGAGATTCATGATAAGCTTAGTGGAGTTACTTCTATGCTTTACACTTGGTTTAAGTAAAGAGTTAAGTGCGCTTACTTGAAAAAAAAGAAAGATGTCGTAAATTTTTTGTATCAAAAAATCAAATTTAGAAGTAATAGAAACTTCATAGGGGAACTCAAATCTGACAATGGTTGATTTATCTCTTAGGAGGGTATATCCAATTAGGATATTTCCAATTTTTCAACTTTGATGAATTGCCATGCCACTTCATCAATCATTTCTCCACTTATACCTATTGGTTGAAAGCTCTCATAGTTGGTTTGCATCTTATTGCTTGCTAAATTTTATGATGACACTATTAAATAAGATTTCTTTCAAATCAGTGCTTCAAGTCTCCTGGTCATGATGACTTTAATGCACATATCTTCAAATATACTTGGAACAACACTAGATCTGCTTGCATTAATACAGTTAAACACTTTTTTTTTGCTTTTTCTACTTTACTAGAAAGAATTAAAAAATTGGCAGTTACTCTCATCCTTAAGAGAGTCCATACTCTAAAACTCAATGATTTCAAGCCTTTTTCTCTTTGTAACACTATTTATGAAATAATATCTAATTTAATGGCTCAAAGTTTCAAATGTAATCTTCCCAGCATCATTCTTCCTTCCCAGGTAGCTTTTATTTATGGCAAAGTCATTGCGAATAACATCATGATTTCTAATGAAATACTTCATACATTCAATTCTTTTAGTCATCCCAACAGCTTTAGGGCAAAGTTGATCTAGAATAGCTTTTGATTGTGTTAATGGAAACTTAATTTATGATAGATTACAGAGAATAAACTTTTCTCCTCTAGTTATTAACTAGATTAAGGCATGTATCTTTATGGTACTTTACTCTATTATTATTAATGGTGAGTGCTACTTCCCCATATCCTCTGGTCTTAGGCAAAGATGCCCTTTATCTTTTTATCTTTTCACCATCTCCTAGGATGTTTTTTCTATATGGTTGGATTTACATTGGCAGATACCAGAGGGGAATATTAGTCATCTTCTTTATTTTAATGCTTACTTATTTTTAGTAAAATTTCAACTAAAAAGAATATTATGTTGCCTTTGGTACTTAATTCTTTCTATGAGCTCTCTAATCTCAGAGCCAATACATCCTAATTAACCTTATGCTTCTTTAAATCTGTCCCCATACAAAAAAAAAGCATTGTATTATAATATCCTTGGCTTTTAAGAAAACTTATTGCCTTGGAAATACATGGGCATTATTTTTTTTTGTTAAACCTATATCTTACTTGTAATAGAATTATGGAGAAGCTTCCACATTATCATAGTGTTGGAAGCAAAAAAAAAACTTTATCATTTTTTAGAAGGCTTCAACTGCTAAGCTACACCATATGAAATTATTTATTGTATTGGTTCATACCTATCATTTTTCCTAAAGGAATTACGAAGGAAATTACTTTAATGAATATTTTATTCAATTTAATAATTCCACTAACTGTATACATTCCATTTCTTGGAGTACCACCACCAAACCTAAGCATTTTGGAAGGGGGGGGGGGATACCTAATATTGATTCTATCAACGCTTTGTGAAGGGACAAGGCTATTTGGAGATTATAACTACAACTCCATTCTTTCTAACTGGTGCTTCAAAATTTGGGTTGTTTATTTTTTGAAATAAATAATAAGCATTCTAATATGTAGAATTACCTCAAAAAGCTAATTACTAAATTTAAAAGAGGCCTCACAGTTAATGTCACAATAAATAATATTTTTTTTCTTCTATGTCCCTGGGCTAGAAGTTACTTCACTTTATGAAAGATTGGGAACAAGTTTTCATTTGGTTCGACTGCACAAGGGATGCTTTATTGCTTCACTTTGTTACAGATCACTCCTAGAATCTCTCTACTTCTCAGAACACCCCTACTAAATGCATTGCTCTCATCCTCCAACTGTCTATATTGGATTCTCTGGTTGTTTGTGCTTGGATGGGTAAAAATCTTTATTCTCACAGGGACACTTATTTTTATTTAAATGATGGACTTCCTTTTGCTTCTTGGCATACAAATATATGGTATAAATTCCACTCTTTCAATTTTGTAGCCTTTATGTGGAAGATTTTAGTTGATAGGCTCAAAATAATGGATATTCTGGCCTCTAGGGGCATTTTGGCCTCTTCTCAATGTGTTTTATATCATTGCTACCAAGAGTTACATTCTCGTAAATTTTTTTAATGTATATTTTCCTTTAAAATCCTAAAGCACGGTATTCCTTTTGGCCTTTTTTCCATCAATGACGCTCCTTAAGGCAACAAACGGTTTTTTATGAAACGATTAGTTGCAAAATTTTCAGGAAATTCTTTCTTCTTGCTACTCATCACTCCAAAATTTATATGTTTGAAAAGAATAGATAGAGTATTAAAACTTTGATTTGAACAAAAAATATTCTTTTCAAAATTCAATTAGCTATCAAGGAGAAAAGTAGTTGGAAATTCACGAATGTTGCTCCCTCCCATATTAAAGACTTTTTTTATGCAATAATGGGTTCATTATGGATTGTCTCTCTATTGAAATTATTTAATAATTTGTTTTCCTTTTCTCTCTACTTTGTGGTGGCTGGTTTGGAGAGTTGTGGTTATCGATGGAAGAATTTTTTTGTCTTCTATATGGACGAAATTTTCTATCTTTGTAACACATGAATTTTTGCTTTGGATCCAAGATAAACTAATTCTTGCTGCTCCCTTGGTGTTTTTTGGTGAATCAAGCTGATTTTCTTCTATATTCATTTGGTGAACTTCGTCAGTATTGATCCATTGGATTTCCTTGAATAGTGCCTCCTATTGTGTTGCTTGGGAGAATGTCTAAGCTATCCTTTCTTTTTATATATATTTTATTA